CTGCTGTGCGTGCTGCAGCAACAGGCATGCCGCCCGGACTGGCCTCGACAGGGCTGAGGTTCGGGGAGGTGCGGAAGAGCGCGTTATTGCACACCATCATCATTCTTCCGCCCGCCCGCTGCCCCGCGCCCGTGGCTGACGTGGAGCAGCTGCTGACACCGGGTGATGACACGTCAGACAAACGCAGCGACGTGGATGCACCTGTGAACTGCACGTCTTCACTCTGCACTGTTGGATGCCTGATTCCTGCTGCTGATGCTGCCGGCGCTGCTCCCCCTGCTGCTGGTGCGGCTGGCGCTGCCCCTCCTGCTGCCGACGCCGCCGCTGGTGCTGCTGCTGCAGCGGCAGCCTTTCCAGTGTTCCCAGGCGTCGCGAGTGCCCCACCTGCCTCTTTTGCTGCTGCTGCTGCTGCCCGTTCCGCCGTTGCTCCGCCTTGATTCTTCTGCCTCCCACCACCAACACCTGCAAAACCAGGCGTCCCAGCAACAGCACGTGTCTTTTCCACCATATCCGTCACCACTCCTAGGTCCGCTTTCCTTGCTCCGTCTCCCACGCATATCCTCGCGCTCGCCGTCGCCGTTGCTGTCGCTACAGGCGTCCGCCCGCCGTCATTCGCGGCGCCATTCGCGGGCGGCGCCGCTTTCTGCGACGACTCGAAGATCGACGCGCTCGCTGTCGCCGTCGCCGTCGCCTGCACCGACCCCTTGGCGACGGCGGGCGACGTCACCGTCGCCACCACGCGTCGCCCGCCAGGCGACGACTGAATCGTCGCTTGCGCTTCCACCTTTCCGCCGCCCCCCCCTCCGCCTTCCCCTTCCGCCTCCTTCCAGATGGTCGCTTCCGCCTGTGCGCGAGCATTTGCAGCAGCGGGGATGGCGGAGTCCTTGCGCGCGCTCGTCCCCTTCTCCACGTTCTTCTCCCCCTTTGCTTCCGCCTCCGCGCATTTAACTGCGCCCTCTGTTGCGCATGTCTCCTCCGCCCCCTTGCCCTTCGCTTCCGCGCCCTCCACCTTGCTCTCCGCCTTCTCTCCGCGCGATTCCCGCGCCTCCTGCGCCGCCGCAATGACCCGCGCGCGGAACGACGCGCTCTTGAATGGCGCGGGGTTGAGGGGGACTCCGCGCACGCGGGATGGTGTTCTGTGGGCGACAGGGGCGCGGGGGAGCACAAGCACAGGCGAGGGGGAGAAGTGTCGGGGATAGCAGCAGTTAGAGAGAAGAAGACTAAGGGTAACGTGGCAATGACATGGCACGATGATATAATGCACGTGGAACACCTCAAACGGTAGCAAGAGTACGGCAACGATCCGTCTAACGATCGTACAACGACAAAAAGCCACGTCTCACTGCCACGTGGCACTCACCCGTTGGACTTCTCGGACGAGAAGCTGAGCGAGCGGGAAACTTCCGACGTCGTCGCCGTCGCCATGGCCGTCGCTGTCCCTGTCGCAGCAGCAGGCGATCCAGTCGCCACACTCCTCTTCCCCTTACTCGGCGACGCAGCCGCAGCAGCAGCGGCCGGGGAGGCATTACCAGCAGCGGCAGCGGCGGCGGCGGCACGGGCGCGTGCGGCGGCGGGGGAGGAGGAGGCTTGGCATTTCGGGGTCGCCTGCTGCTCCTCCTTCTCCTCCTCCTGCTGCTGCTGCTGCTGCTGCTTCCTCGCTTGCTTCTGTTTCTCCGATGCCTGTTGCTTCCGCTGCTGCGACTCCATTTCAGCCGCCGCCGCTGCCTCCGCCACTGCCGCTTCCGCTTCCGCTTGCTTCGTCGCTGCCGCTGCTGCGTCTCCATGCGCCACGGCAGCGGGCGGGGTTGCCGTGATCGCGGTTAATGCGGCGTGGATAGCCCACGCCGCGCTGTCCCCATCGTCCGTAATCTCCGCGTCTGACGGGGGGCAAGGATCAACGGCAGGGAAAGAGCCACGCGAGCCGCGGGGGAGAGTGGCATGAGACATAGAGGCGGAAGAATAAGGGCAGGAAGGGAAGGAAACAGAAGCGATTCACAAGGGACACCTGCTGGCAATCAGTTGATGTTCAAGTCTTTCAGTACCTTGCACGATCAGTGATTAGAACGAGTTGCTGAGCCACCACCATCGCTCCGCGCAGGTTCTCGCTCCAGACCAGGTCCTAGCTGGATTCTCCTTGATTCTCCTGGATTCTCTCTTGAGAGATTGCCTCCGGACCCTTTTGATTCTCTCTGGAACCTCGTGACTCTTATACGCCTTGCCTGTGCCTTTCTCGTGACTCTTGTGTCGCCGTTCTATTACCCCCCTGTTGCCATCCTCCTACCCTCCGCTTACCCTCATCTTACCTTCATCTTCATCTCATGTTGCCGTCCTGACACACTCCTGTGCACCTTGATCTTACCTCCATGCACCTCACTCTGGGTGTTCGACGTCCTCCTCACCACAACGTAGCGAGAACTCTCATGATCCAGGTGCTCTTAGAGAGGAGATCCGCCGAACCGTCGAGCTAGTCGAGCTAATAGGAAGGATCCCTACCTCCTCCTTCTCGCTCTCTTTCACTCTTTCTCTCTCTCTCTCTCTCTCTCTCGCTTTCTTCTGGCGACGAGCTACGGACACATGGCAAATCATGAAGTGACAAAGAGTCTGACCCTATCTCTTCTCTCCCACTCTCTCATTCTTACTCAATCTCGCTCTCACTCTCTCTCTCATTCACCCTCGCTCCCACTCATTCTCTCGCCTTTCTCCTCTTATCTCTCACCCTGCGCGCCGTCGAACCACGAGTCTCCGGAGTGCAGCTCCTCTTCCTCCTCCTTCCGGCAGAAGTTAAAGTACTTGGGTGCATGGATGTCCTCATACAGTGGATCAATGTACTGCGATGCTCCCCCGCTCGACGACGACGATGCCGCTGCTGTTCCTCTCCGGGCCGGACCGGCGGCTCTGCTTCGAGTGGGAGTTCCCACCGGCTTCATCTTGCGGTTTCCGCGCTCGCTATTGCGAAATTACTGTGACGGCACGGAGGTCTGGGGTCTTGCTCGTGTTATCGTTGAATGTGATTTGGTTGTAAACGCTAAGAACGGAGCTACGATGTATAGCTGCGTGCAGGAAAAAAGAGAACTGGTGCTAGATGGACTGGTGTTCTTAGAGGAGGCCGTTATCTGGAAAGCTACGTGGAGGAAATTAGAAACTACTACTGGTTGGTTGGTACGACGGCTCAACGGTAAGTGCTGGTTGTAGGAAGGTGCGTGGCCTTGCGGTTATCAAATACATGGAGGAGGAAAGTCATTATGGTGGAGTGCGTACAGCAATCGGCAACCGTAGCTGGTGCGGACGATTCGGACAGGTAAGAATTTATGTCTGAAGCTACGTTGAGCGGATGTCGCGGGATGCGGCGAGATGCCGAAACGAAAATAGGAAGAATTATGAATAACGGAGAAGTAACGAAGCGAAGAAAGGCAGGCGCATGGAAGGATATAAGCCGGCTGCCGATCCAGTACTGAGTGCATTGCACGTGGATTTGCCTGGGGTGGAAACAAAACCAGCTGCACAAGAAAATCTGAATCAGCTGCATTACTAGGAGCAACCTTCTGTTTGCTTCATGCTCGTGAGTTCCTCGAGCTTAGTTTGGTAGCAGACAGAGCAAGGCTCGTTGTAGGAATTCCCCTTGGGAATGGTGTATCGGTGAGGCAAATCCTCCGCTGCATTCCCAAGTGCGCCGCGCGTATCCATCAGCCAATTTTGCCCAAACAGGCGGAAGGGAGCACCAAGACAAAAGCCGCAGATGCACTCCGCATGGCATTGCAATTTGCGGGGAAACACCTTGGCGCAGAGACGCGTCGCATCCGGCAATTTTGGGCGAGTGAGTGTGCCCCATCGAGCCGCACTAGTGCTGCGAAGTTCTGCTGCAGACCGAACTCAAGCGCGCAGAGAACCGATTGGCTGACTCTGCGCTGACATTTGCGATATTCCCTGCCATTGGGTTGGGAAACGTCGGTTGGCGGACGCAAGGAGGTGGAGCAATCTCCGCAGGGGCGACGGGAGCTCAACTGCGCAAAGCTCCCGAGCGAGTGAAATGAAAGGCGATTTGGGTTGGGTGGGAGTTGTGGGGGAAGGGTTGATGGAAACAGCGGTTGCTGGCTGGCTGGCCGTTGATCCCGACCGGAGCTGAAACGGGCGGCTCTGAACTGACAGGTTTCCGCGCGAAAAAATGGCGAAATTTCAAATTTGTCCCGCGTCCCAGTTTCCACAGATGACAGGCACCGCCGTTTCTCTGAACCTACACTTCCGTTATAAGCTTACTATTAATAGAAAACATACGCACCTAATCCTATCTATTGCAAATGGGACTGGTAAATTGTATGCATAAATTTGTAGCAGAAGATCTATGCACACTAATTTTCTCTGCTCCGCAGCGCAATAGCTAGACGCGTACACGCGTTATTTCGTGCTTTTTTGTGTGTTAGTATGAATTCATGTGCTTTTCCCTGTCTGAATCGCCATGCTGCGCAAACTACCATATCATGGATTCGACTCGCGGCTTGTGAGTCAAAATAGGCCCCCAAGGTTGGAGCTGGCATGTGTGACCTGTATATGTAAAGGTGCCTTGCACGAGTTTCCATACCAAGGTCCAGACCAGTCCAGACAACCCATTGGTGTGACAAATGGAGTGCTTGTTGGCCATGCAGTATGTCCCATCTTGATCCGCTCAAGCCCAACCTGTTTTCATATATTCTATCGTCTGGATAAAACCTTTGGCTTGTAATTTGAAGCTCAGTGGTTCAATCCAATAACAAGCAGAGAGGCAATAAAATCAAATATGACAGCAAGAATAAAGCATGCAATAAGTATGGTATCATACATGATGGATACAATGGCACCAAACCTACGGGTAGAGAGATAACAAGCATGCACAGCATTCTCTACAAGCCAGCCCTAGTTAGCGTTACCTACCCCTCAGTCAGAGTGAAGACGAGCAAAGCAGCATACAAGACAGCTCCACGTAACAAACATCCTCCACGTAGCTCCCCTCCCAATAACTAAACACCTCAAGCCTTCTTCTTCCCTGCGAGAATGCGAGAGATCTGCAGGCCCCTGCTGAATGCCTGGTTGAAGAGCAGGCGCGTCTGGAACTCCGATACGAAGGGGAACCATGCGAGCACGGCGATGGGGATGAACAGGATGAGCCCAAACAGGTACTCGTACATCCGTGCCAGGCCCTTGACTGAGTCCCACATGCTGCTGGGAATGATGGGACGAATTGCCTGTGCGACCTGTTTGGGAAGATGTGCAACACGGGCCAGAGGAGAAGGGGGGCAGAGATAGTTGAGTCAGTAAGTGTCAAGCAATTGTCACGGAAGTCGGGGCACACAAGTATTCAGCATAGATTCACAGGAGCTGCAAGCAGCATAATGAACAACACGACAAAGAAAATAGATGATTCAGGAGTGGTTGACACACCTGGAGCATGAACCATCCAGTGGGGATGGCGGCGAGAATGCAGGCGAAGAGGTCTCCCCAGGTGAAGGAGGTGAGTCCGATGATGAGAGCAAGCGCAATGACGAGACAGCAGAAGGTGACTGCCTTGATTATGCGGAACAGCAGCTGCAGGTCTGCTCCAAAGCGCTTGCTGCTCATAGACACGACCTGAGGGGGAGTGAGGGGGATGGGGAGGAGAGGAGGGAAGAGGGATAGGAATGAGTGGAGGAGAGGACAGGAGACAAGAGGGGGAGAGGGAAGTGCTGAAAGTTGTGGAAGGAGAGAAGTCGGGGAGGGGAGGGGGGAGTAATGAGGGTAGACGAGAAAGGGAAGTATGGGGGCGTGACTGGCTGAGAGCAGAGCAGCGATCACCAAGCCCAAGGAGGGAAGGATAAGCGTGCAGTGCATCCATGCCCGCAGAACCAGCAGCAACAGCAGCAGAAGCAGCGGAATGAGAAATAAAACCAAGGTTCAAGAATTTTCACCTTGAAAACGACCAGAAGCCCGAGCACAACCAGCCATGATATGCCATAGATCTGCACACACAGACACACAGAGACAACGATTAGGGAAGGGATTGGGCAAAGATTGACCAAAATAAGTAGGTCAACTGTGTGAGCCACATATTCCTAGCCCCCTATTTCATCCCCTCCACCCTACCCACATGTCTCACCTCCTCCCCCTCCCCCTTTCCTCTCTCCTCATACCACAGTTCCCCCTGCCTCCTGTCCCTCCCCTCCCAAACCTCTCCCCCTCGCCCTCCCCACGCTCCCCCCAACGCACCATCAGGCTCGTGCTGCCATTATTGACGTCCAGAGTGTACACAATCCCGTACTGGTAGATGAGAAAGCGCAGCGACAGCACCACCTCCACCAGGCGCCCCACCCACCCCGTGTGCACCAGATGCTCCTGCTCCTCCTCCCACCACGACTCCCAACTCCTGTCGCCCTTCACTCCAATCCCCCCATACGCCCCAATCCACCTGTGCCAGTCCTCCCAATCCTCCACCACCTTCTGCCACTCAAACGCCGACGGGTTGAACACAAACGGTGCAAACAGCCACGAGAGGCAGAGGAACCACATGGAGAACGTCACCAGGAAGTAGCTCAGCCCGTTGCTCGAGCTCGTGTTCTCGCCGTAGATCGCAATCACGATCAGCATCAGCAGAAACTCCAGCGCGACGGTGAAATGCGACCGTGCAAACAGCCGGTAGTTCTCCGCAAATTTCTCGTGCCGCACCACAAACCCGCGCCCTGTCGGCCGGTACTTGGCCCCCCCGTGCATGATCGTCCGCACAAAGAAATGCGCCTTGGTCCCCAGTGAGAACGTGAAGAACACAGAAGCGAGCTGCAACTGCATGAGGATAAAATCCACCATTGCAGTGCGGAACCCCCTCTCAAGCCCCATTTCCATGAGCATCGGCAGAGCCATTAGCAGACCCAGCTGCACGAGGGCTTGCGAGGAGAGGGCGGACTGGAGCGAGTCAGAGCCGGAGATGTTGGCGTTGTTCATTAGAGATCTGCCCACGCCGCTCAGCGACAGGTACACACGGCCGTACAAGAAGGCGTACACCGTCAACACCACGATCTGCCAGGGAGGGGCCGGGGAAGAGGGGAAGAGAAGAGGGCAAGGGGATGGGAAACAGGGGATTCTTGAGTTGACAACAGAGCAGAAAGCCACACCCTCATAAAACGAGAAGAAATGGAAAGAGAAGAAAACAACCCTCATATATGCCCCAGCAAGCACAGGCACCAGCAACCACAGCCCTCGGCAACCACAGCCTCCAGCAACCCTTTCCACACAGAAACCCTCATGCGCCACTCACCACTGAGCTGACATAGAACCCCACGGTCGTGAAATACGCCGAGAGCGAGCGCATGAAGTCAAACCGCGTTCCAATGCGGTAGATATCCCGGCTCAGCGCCTGCTCCCCGTTCCCATTCGCCACCTTGGCCTCAAACAGCGAGATTTGATTCAGCCCCACGTCTCGCCCCTTCCCCACTTGTATGTACTCGTGGTGCGTGACTGCTCCGCGCCGCAGTGTGCTGTTGATGCCTGCGTAGATGTCCTCGCTCAGGTTGATGCCGCGTGACGCCTTGCTCACGCCGCCGCGCGTGATGTGGAAGAGACGGTCGAACACGTCCGGGTGGCCGTAGTGGAAGCGCACTCTGTTGGGGGTGGAGGTGGGGGGAGAGGAGGGAGGGAGGGAGGGAGGGAGGGAGGAAGGGTGGGAGGGGAAACAGGGGAAACAGGGGCAGTGATGAGGAAGCAAGGAAGAGACGGTCAAACACGTCTGGATGGTGAAGGTGGTGGAGGATGGGGAGGAAAAACGGAACAAAGAGGAGGGGGAGAGGGAGGGGCAGAGAACAGGGACAGGGGCACGGATGATAAGGAATTAAGGAACGTGTGCATGCCAGAGCAAACACAGCAGGAGCAACCAACAGCTAGAATCTTACTTGAGAGGCCAAGCGAGAATCCTCTGTCCGATCGTCACAAAGCTGCTCTCCTGGCACGACATGAACCACCCCAGAGAAGAAACCGAGCCCGTGAAAATATGCTCCCGCACCCCCAGAATCGTCGGCGGTCGGGACCCCATGCACCGCGACAGCACGCCCTCCCCGCCCCCAAACTCCTGGAGCAGGTTCCGCATCTTGAACGCCTCTTCCAGGTAATTATCCTGGTTCATATCAATAGCCTGCAGCGCCTCTCCCCTGGTGAAGATGATCGCAGCGTTCTGGTTCTCCGGCTTGCCCTCGCCCAGCTTGGCTTGCCCTGGGCGCACGCGGTAAATCTCCTGCTCCACGCCCCGAGACACCTTGACGAGCACGGAGAAATACTCCTTGCACACGCGCCCCTTCTCACGCCCCGAGACACCTTGACGAGCACGGAGAAATACTCCTTGCACACGCGCCCCTTCTCCTCCACCTCCACCTCGTCTATGTACGCCACCCTTAGGGCATCGTGGGCTGGAGGGAGGGATGCGGGAGTGGGAGTGGGGGAAGGGAGGGAGGGGCAAGTTGGAGAGGGCGCGTTGGGCCTCACGGCGTTTGGACGATGTAGGAATGGAAACAGGGCGTAGGAGGGAGGGGGAGGGGAAAGGATAAAGGGGAGGGGATGGAAGCGAATGGCTTAGCAGAAAGAGCACATGCACATTCAAGGACGAGCGAAAGAGCTAGAGAGATCTAGGGGACTATATCTGGTTGGAGTGAGCAGGGACGAGTAGGAAACATGGATTGGGCAGCACAGGAGCAAAGGTAACTCCGGGTTTCACCACACCCCCAGTCAAGTCCCAATCCCCCTCACGTTCCCCCAATGCCTCCCCCTCCACTTCCCCAAACCGCCATCACCTCCTCTCCCCTCTTGTCCCACCCCCCCCCCCCTCCCCCACAACATACGTTTTCATGAGCTCGAAAATGTCAGCTGCCCGCTGGTCGCCCGCTTGTTTCTGCTGCCCGTACATTTGGCAGGCGACAACGTAGGTGAACTTGAGATCCGTGACCGCCTCAATCTGCTTCCACGTCGCCCTGCTGCTGACGTCTCCCTTGCGCGCTGCCTGCTTCAGTGCGCGGTAACCAGCCGAGAACTCTGATGGGTGGTGGAGTGAGACAGGTGTGGTTGAGGCAAGTGCGTGAAAGGAGTGAGACGCGTAGGAGCAAGGATTGAGAAGAATGGGGAAAGGGGCACACAGTATGTGCGATGCATAACGGATGAAGGGGTAAAGAGCAAAGAAATTAGAGCAAGAGCAGAGCAGGATAGTGGGCTCCAGGGACTTCGTACCTTGGTCTGTGGAGATGTCTAGGAACGCCTGTAGCTCCATGGCCCGCTTGTAGTACATCATGCCACGCACTGTGGACAGCAGATACAGTCACACATAGGTACAAGCACAGGCAAGGGCAGAAAGAAAAGCACGGGCACATGCGGCACGGTCACAGATGGCACTCAGCAGGCATGCGGACCGGCGCGACGGAGGGAGAGGGGCAGAGAGGAAGAGAGGTAGAGAGACACAGAAATAAAAGGGATGTAAGAGCTATTGAGAAACATGAGCATGTAGGAGCATTGGAGTATTGTAAATGTCAGTGTACCACCGTCATCCCTCCCACCTCATCCCACCGCCCTCATCCCACCAACTCCAAGCCACCTCCCCCTCACCCTCCTCCCCACCCAACCTCCCCATCCACCCCCTCCTCATCCCCCCACCCCCTCCTCATCCCCCCACCCCTCTCGTCGCCACCCACCTGTGCGCCACAGTGTCTGCCCGCGGTTGGAGGCCCACGCCCTCAGCTCCCGGTCGCCATTCTCCCTCGCCACCACCTCTTCCTCTGACTCGCACCCCATGCGCTCCAGGAAGTTGCTCCACTCCTCTGCACGCATGCACACACGCACACACATGCAGCACGCACACATGCACACGGGCAGCCAGGCGGACACACGGGCAGGAGTGCAGACAGGCAGGGGGGGGGGGGGAGGGGGGAGAAGGCATACATGCAGGCAGGCATTGGGGGGATAGGGAATAGAAGGACGAGAAGGAAGCGAAAGAGAGAGACATAGTTTAGGATGACAGATCGGCCGTGTGGTTGCAAAAACCGAGAAACGGAATACAAAGACAACGACATATGTCGTGGGAAAGTAGGAGGGGAGGGGGTCGGGGGGAGAGATCTGCAAATGAACGGGAAGACGTTTACACAAGAGAGCATGTTAGCTGCAGCTCAAGCGAAGCCACTTGCGCAGACTCACCTGGGTAGATCTTCTGCAAATAGAACAAGATCGACACGCCGTCTTCATTCTCCTCATTCAGCTGCCTCGCTCCATACATCACATCCTCTGAGTAATACGGCGTCAGCACGCTGAACGATGGCATGAACCGCACGCGCGGCGCATGCGGCATGTCCATAAACAGCGAGTTCGTGAAGAAACAGATCCTTCTGCGCGCCTCAGGGTTTGTGGGGACGTCCATTGCTGCTTCCTTGCACGTCAACAGCAGGAGAAACCGCTTCACCTGCTCGCACCAAGCCGGGGTTTTAGGGGGCGGATACAGCACCCCCACTCTCCCCGCTTCCTGGTTCCTTGCCCCTCCAGCAGCAGCAAAGAGCTGAACCGTGCGTGCCTCTGAAAGTGGTCCTCCATGGGCGGACATGGCCTCTCGCATAGTCTGAGAGATCAGGTCACAGGTGAAAACTTCAAACAGATCCTGTAACCCTCGGATTAACGCACTCTTCCTGTCCTTCTCCTCCTGACTCCCTGCCGCCCTGCCCCCCCCGTTGCCCTTACTGCTCCCCGCCTCCTCCTTCTCCTTCTCCTTCCCCTTCCCCTTCCCATCTGGAGACCCTCCCCCTCCACCCGGAGTACTGCCAGTTCCTGCCGACCCCGGTGTAGCGGGGCGGCCGGCAGTCTTAACCCCGTCTGCCTCGGCAATGTCTGCCAGCAGCTGGACTAGCTCCACAACACTGGTGATGAACGCAGGGAGGGCCTTCATGCGCAGCGCAGTGAAGAGCGTGCCATTGTCTATGTTGCGCTTCACCTCCTTGAGAAGCCCATTCACCACACTGCGAGTTGGGAAGGGAGTAAGGAACAGAGAGAGGATGAAAAACAGACGTGTGCATTGGGTATGTTGGATGGAGCAAGGGTTGGTTCAAGGGCACACACTGCACCGCCAACGCAGCTCACAATTTCTCCATAGAGAGAGCACCCCACAGCGAGACGAAGGCCTCCTTGGTTCTTGTGGTGCCCAAAAAGCTATCACAATCTTGCACCAAACACCCGGACAACACAGCTTACAATTTCTCGTTCTCTCCAATGAGCAGGGTGGTCAGGATGTGCTGCAGCGTGGCAAACGCCTCCTCAACGGCAAAGCGCATGTACGAGTCTGCCGAGATGCGGTGCCACACATCGCTGTCCCGGCCCTTGGCCCCCTTCACTGCCATCTCCACTGCTCGTGGTACCTGGTGAGGCACATAGAGGGAGGGACGAGAGGCAGACAACAAGGGAGAAAAAAAAAAGTGGGTTCTCAGGTAGGGAGAAGCGGGGGAGGGTGCAATTAAGGGAAGAGAAGTGATAAAAAGATTATAAACATCATGAACTAGGAAATGAGGTGGGGTGAACACGATGCCAGCATGCACGTATACTTCACAAACGAAAAGATAAAAAGGAGGGAGGGGGGGAGGGGGAGAACAGGGCTCAAGAAAGCAAGGAAAGAAGCAGATGTCAGAAGTGTTACCTTGCTAGCGAGGAGGAAGGGCGGCCACTGCACGATGGAGAGGTCACCAGAGGAATAGGGCACCATCATGAGATCCATCTCCCTGTTACTGATCAGATCCTCCTCCCTGAAGCTGACAATGACTTCGTTCCACAGCTGTGCAAAGCGCGCAGCCTCCTTGGTGTTCTTGTCAGGCTCGCGGTACGTGCGGGCGAGAGAGAATGCACTGCGCTGCAGGCGTTGCGCCGGCACCAGGTTTGCGTTGAACGCACCGGGAAGTGAGCGGAACCGCTGCCGCAGCATCTTCAAGTTGCGAATCTGAGAATAAAGGGAGGGGCATGGGGACAGGAGGGGAGGGGAGCAGGGAGAAGGGAATGTGAGAGGAGAGAAGGCGAGGCGGCAGTCGAAAGGGGAGGGAGGAAAGGAAGGGCAGGGAGGGGCATGGAAGACGTGGAAAGGAGAGATCAGGTTCGAGGCGCCACACCACGCCCCACCACACCACACCACACCACACCACACCATGAAAAATAAGCTCCCAATCCGATTAGTTCACTAAGGCACCTTTGTGCCCGTCTCCCCCACTGGCACTAACCTCTCCCAGACGCTGGAACGCGCCGGTTATGCCTCCAAGCAGCGTGGACATGACAGCGTACCAGATCTGCGTGTCCATGAAATACACCTGCCACCATGCAACAAGGTGGATGTGGGTTATAGGGGAAAAGAAAGTCGAGCGAACGTGAGGAGCAGTAACAGCAACAACAGCAGCAATAGCGTGTACAAGCGAAGGCGCAACAAATCACCACACAAGTACCCACTCCAGCACAAGATGCAACAGCCATGACCAGCAACACCCCACAACTCCTCTCCACCCCACCAAACCCCTTCCATTTCCCTCATCCGTCCTCTCACCAGAATGATGGGCGCCCAGAGCGTGATGACAGCGAAGATGTTGAGGTCCGTGGGGATGAGCTTGTGCCACGAGTACACCACGTTGGTGGTCGCCATGATCTGATCTGTCGGCGCCACCAACGGCTCGATCTGGAACTTGTAGCTGAATACCAGCTTTGCTGCTATCAGCACCACCCAGAACAGCGTGTAGCTGAGGAGGCGAATGGGATTTGGGGTGGTGTTGAAGGAAAAGAGGAGGAAAGGTTAGGGCGGAGTTGGAAGGGATGGCGTTTAGTTGAGGCAAGTGAGTGCCCGAGAGGGGTAGAGGAAGTGAAACCCACAGTACGTGGCAGCAGACTAGCAGCAGCAGATTGAAGCAGAGAGATAGCTTACTTGAGAATGGTGACCTGTGACTCCTGCATACCCCGCCCAACGTACTCCGCTGGCTGTAGTGGGGCCACAGGCAGAAGAAAAGCAGAACATGCTTCTTGAATGACACGACAACCAACATTCAAGTCGCCTCATAACCAGGTCAACACGAAAGCAAGCCACTTCTATGCAAATTGAAATGCGTGAAGAGAGCATATAGAGTGAGACTCATGCATTCCCCTTGTACAACAACCTACCATCCAACACATGCCTTGGACCTCATCCATTCCCCCCACCATCACCGCGCCCCTCCTCCCACATCCACACACCCACACCCACACCCACACCCACACCCACACCCACACCCACACCTCCCCACCGCTTCCCACCCCAACCCATCCCTCACCACTCAAGCACCCACCTGCGACCACCAGAGGATAACCCGGAAGATCATCCAGTTGGAGTTCTCCAGAAACCGGTGAATGCAGGGCATGATCCACAGCCCCAGCGCGAGCACGTACGGCACCAGGTACAGCACGCACACTGCAAAGTACACGTTGGGACTGCCAGTCACGCCTATCCACCCCTGCACCGTGGACACTATCCCCGTCGCGTCTGTCACTGCCATGGAGTAGGAGATCGCGAGCACCACGAACCACCCCGCAAACCAGATCGTCTTGAGAAGCAGGCGGATGGAGGACGTCCATGGTTGTGTGCGGTACAGGCCGATGCTGAGGAACACGTCCGTTAGAGCTGCATGGCAAGAGGGGGGGCGGGAAGTAGGGAGGGAGCGGAAGGGAAGGGAGGGGAGGGCAGTGACGGGTGGGGGAGGGGAGGGGAAGGGAGGGAAGGGGAGGGGGGGGAGGGGAGGGGAGAGACGGGTGGGGAGTTGAGGGGAAGGGAGGAGGGGACAAAAGAGTGCGGTCTTAATTTTGGAGGCAGAGCATCAGCACAGAGAATGGTGTATCTCAAGCATTGAAAAACTTGAATTGAGATTACTTTGGAAAGGTAAGAAGCTTACATTTGAGGAAGTAGATGCCTGCGAGTGTGATGAAGATGCTGGTGACTCTGCGGAACTTGTCAATGCTCGTGAACGTGCTGTACCACGGCGGGTTCCACGCCATTATGATCATTGCCTGCTCGCACAGGGAGAGGGAGCAGAGGTGGCAACTGAGGGGCGAATGTGGGAAGAATGTATGCATGCGAGCACATGCAGATACATTCAGATGCACATCGTGAAACTATGTGCTCGTGTAAGTGTATCTGCGAGCACACGTTCGCACAAATGGAAGCGTGAGCATAAGTGTGTGATGGGATAGAGAGGCCCTGGCCAGAGAGTGGAGAAAAATAACAGGAAGAGTGGCGGAAGACAGAGACTTTGACACAGTAAGGGGGACGAGCACGCCGCTGGGATTGAGAACTTGAGCACCGGGGCACGCAGGAGACACCTGAAGTCACCTGAACTCACCTGAAGGCAGCAGATGAAGAAAGCCCACATGCGATCAAAGTCGCGGAACAGGTGCAGGCAAGTGCGGTGCTCCACAAACCCCTCCTTCCCCATGCGTTCGCTCCCTGGCAGAGGGCAGCAGTTCACAGCTCCCTAAGAAGAGACATCACCAAGGGAAAAGCAAGACAACGGAGAGGACCAGAGTTATAAAGAGCCACTCAAGTTCTACTTAGAGCACGAACTGGCAACCTGCCAAATAACACGCAGGAGAAGCGACATTAACTTGGTAACATAAGGTGTCTTATGACATACCTTGAAGCTTCCCGCATGCAGGTTGGGTGCTGGTCCTGCAAAGAAGGGCGAGCTGGCGTTCCACGGCCACCCCAGCTCGAAGCAGCTCTTGGACCAGAAAAACTCGTTCAGGTCGTCGTAGTTCCGCCAGGACGAGTGCGCCGCGCCTCCCACGGCCGCCTGGGCCTCCTTGGACGCCACGTCATACACAGGCGTGATGACGTAGCGGAGGAATCCCTCCGCCTCGCGCCCGTACGCGGGCAGGCGGGACTTGGCCTCAGGGCCCTTGCCTCGCAGTACAGCTAGCAGCTCCGCTGCCATCTGTGGTGCATTAGTGGCGGAAGGGGATGGGAAGAGGGACGGAGAGAGGGCCGAGGATAAAACTTGAGAGAACATGAAGGAAGAAGGGGAAGAAGAAGACAGGGGAGTTGGAAACACGAAGCATGAGTGCGGAGCAATGTTCAGGCTACGGATCATCGTGCACCTATCAGCCATTGGATTGACGTGACGGAGAACTGCCACAGAGTGCTATGACGGAGAGTGCTGCCATGCACTGCTGCCATGTAGTGCGTGTGTTACTTACGTTATGGTAGATGTAGCAGAGGCATTCGGGCATGAAGCGCAGGTTAGCTGCTTCCCCCCACACGAGCAGGAATAGCGCCGTGAAGAGCACCTTCCTCTGCTGCTGCTGGATGGGGGTCAGCCCAGGGTCCATGCTGCACGCGCAAAAAAGCAAGAAAACCATAGAAGAAAAGTAATCAAAGAGAATAATTCCTTTGTGCCACTGTTGTACTACGACGCACTGGAATCTAACAAGCACAAATACGGCAACCATGATCGTGCTCTAGCCCAAGCCACCATGGTGTCGTGCCACTGCTAACTCACGTGACGTTGCTCTTGCACTTGATGTAGCGGCACCAGCTGCGGTAGTTCTTGATCAACCCCTCCAGTACCTTGTCCACTGCTCGGTTGTCCAGCTGCAGGGCGGACACAGCAAGGACAGGGAGCACCAGCACACCGCACATGCATAGACATCAAATATGAACTGACAAAGCGTGGCAAGGCATCTTTAGGGGATCCGAACGTGCAACTCAATGCCTTTCCTCACGGCATATGCGAATCTATTCCACTCCAACATCCCGTACTTTCGACTCGTGCTTGAACGGTCTATGTCCCTCATGCGTGTGCGTGACTCGGGTGGCCTTCCTGGTTCGTACCTCCTCGAGAGGTTCAGGCCGAGGGTTCTTCAGGCTGATATGCGCGTTCGCCAGCAGCAACACCAGATGCTCACGCTGGTTGCGAACGTTGTCTTTCTGCAGGGGGGAAGCAGTGTCATGCGGGCGCACACACACACCCGCATGCACACGTACGCACAGAGGCACACGTTCACACTCGCACGCGCACGCAGAAAAAACGGGGGAAGAATAGACACTCAGACGAAGCACGCAACGTTCCCTTCCCCAATGCTCACACGGACTTGTCATATGGAAACAACAATCTTCGTCAGTAGTACGATGCGCAGAGCACTAATATGACGAGAAAGGCGTTTCCTGTCACCTGGAAAGCAAAGACGAATCGCAGCCAATCAAGCGAGTCAAACTGCTTCAGCTTCTGTCCCGGCGGCACCTCCCACAAAATGGGAAGCCCGCTAACGTTCGTCACTCCACCCATAGCGGCCACCACCTGCCATCACAATGAGACGATGCATTAATATGCAGCCATTCAAGTTGGTGAAGTGAAGTCGGCTTCTACCCACTAGCAAACTTGGCTTCATTCGCATGAAAATCCAGCTTGAATTTCCACCTCCCTTTCTACTCGTAGTTACTTTTAAGTCACACGGACTGCTTGGATCCATTGCGTCATCAGTAACCGACCGGTGCGCGTCTTAACGGCGGCGACTCACCTCTGGTAGCTGCATGATGGGTTGCTTGGCACTGGATGGATCCAGAGGCAGAATGTTGAACGCCACGTACTCTGCCTTGCGCTCCACCACTCGCTGACCCGCCTCCATAACCTGCGGTTCCCACAATGGTTCCATTAGCGGTCAGTAACGCGTTTCGACGTCTACTGAGACGCTAACGGCGGGGTTGCTGAAGAATAACGCCATCTGATGTCGAATGTTCTGATTGTAAAAATGATGGAAAACGGGTTAGCGTCCACTGCAGTCACGTTCTTAAGTCTCGGCGTGCGTCGTACCTCCGGCGCGAGCTCCGACTTTTCTGTCTGGTTGATGGCGCAGAGCACCTCGAACAGCACGCCTGCAGTCTGGTACGCGCGAGCGAGCTCCGCTCTGCCATGAACAGAACCAAGTCGTGTCAGCGTTCCATTCAACCGTGATTGAGCCAATGATTCTTAACATCACTTCGACAAGGAATAGAGAGAGTATCGAACAACAAAGCTGGTGCGTGAGAGCTGATTTACCGGTCGACGTTCTCTGCGTCATCCATGGCCTTGACATAGTTCTGGTAGTACTGCTGGTAGAAGGACGCGATTTCTCGAGCATCGCTGCTGCGTTGTCGCTTCTCCAGAGTTATCGGGTTGTCCTGTGACAACAGCAAGAGACGGCAAAACAGAACACATTCATAAGAGAAGGATGTGCGAAGACTATTCAGCGCAAGGATAAACTGAAAAAGACTTCAGACTGAAGTTAAAGTATCAATGACAGCTAGCGACCCACGGGAGATTGGTTGGGGTGAAAATGCCAGCGAGTGTCGTGAAACTCGTACCCTCTCTAGCCGCTCGAGCAGCGCTGTCTTGAACTGGCGAACTCCGCGTCCCTTGCACGTGGGATCCAGGCGATGCGCCTTCTCGAAAGCCGAGAACCGACCTGCGCAAACCGGTCACAAAGAGATGCGTCAGGATATCAGCTACTTTTCCCGAGCTTTAAGAAGTCATTCTTAGATGGTCATCGCAATACAACAATACTCGTTGTCACGATACGAAATCAAAATGGACGGTATCAAATGCCTATATCGAGCCCGAAATGAAGAATACCTGCCTCTAAAAAAAGCTATATTCCGTAAGAGGTTTCGGAGGGAAAGTCGGCTCACATAGGTAAGCAACTCGAGGCCGTTGGGATTCGATCTCATTAGCAGCCCTGAGGTAAGGCTCGATCTCTGACAACGTTGGCGGAACCATCTCAAATGCCTGAAACTCCCGGGTCCCGCTACTAGGTAATCTCGTCATTTGTCTCCGTGCCATCGTGGCTGGACCTGAACTCGGACCAGCTATGATATGCTGTTACGACAACTCAGTTAGTTTGCAACCATCAGCTACGGGTTCGTAGACACAGCGAGCTAATTACGTCCAACGAAGCGTTGGACCTGGCTCGAACCACGTGCTGAATCCTACGGATGATAGTGTGAACGGAACGACGCAATGAAGCGAAGAGGTTTCGCAGGCGAAAAGGCGTGACTGAATTCGTTTTGCTTATGGAATGACGGAGGAACGAGGCGGTGCTCTCAGCTGTGACCAGTCGCTAGTGCCTCGGGGAAATCCCCTGAGTCTGATTCTCGCCGTAGAGTGCCAGAACGAGGTTCTCTGATGATGAATGGTCGATCGCTGCCTGGTGATGCTGCTCGTGCTCCTGCTGCTGCTGGTGGGGCTGAGCTGAGCGGTTTGGGTTGAGTGGGGCGAACTAGCAAGGGAAGCCTTGGGAATGTCGAATGTCCCTGTCTGCTCGCTGATTCTGCCTAACGGACGTCTCCAGCGCTCAGCTATGATTGGCTGATGTTACCGTAGTGAATTGAAATTGGCGGTAAATTTCTGGAGCCGGATCGCCTTTGTCTGCCTGAACAATCGAGGGAGCACTGGGACTCTCGGAGTTCTCAGTCTGGGGGACTCGGTCTCCGTGAACTGAATTCGACGGTAGACGGAGGGGATTACCGACAGGAACTTTATCCGTCTGGCAGCCCTGACGGTCGCACGCGGTTTGTGACGTGCTCAACTGAATTTCCCTGCCCAGCTCAGGGGTCCTTGATACCTGCATGCACAAGGCACCATCTGACGGCCCCAGGAATTGCCGATTCGACGACTCACGGCGGCGCCCCTGAAGAAAATTCAGCTGGTCTGACGGAAAAGGAGTTGTCAGATTGTGATAAGCCGTTTTCGACAGTTCGCATCGCATTTATTCAGTGGGAAGATGATATCCATATGCCCAAAGTTGCCAAGGTTTTCCTTTACAATTACCTCCTGATACCGTAGATATGCAAGGTAGAAGGCAGGCATGGCAAAGGTGATGATTTCCATTGTAAACGGAGTACCTTGCAAAACATGGAATTTGTTGCATTGATACAATCAATTAGCGTCCTGCATGAACTCCTTTATTATATTTAATCTGGAAAGATGCCACTAGGAGGTTTTTTGCTTGGATGAGTCACTCTCTGTTCTACCAGGCAAAAGTACATGGGCGAATGTAACGCCAAAAAAGAGAACACACAAATAAGTCGCATTGATAGCAATGGCAGTGAGTGGTGGTTGGGATAACGTATCCATGGTGATGTTGACAAGCCCTGTCCCTACATTCGCCTGTGAAACAGAATGAATGGCAGGGATAAGACAGGGAGAGGACATACACACATTTTGTATGCAAAACCATGCTAAAAACAAGTTCACCCATTTCCTGGTATACGCAAGAGAACGACAGCGAAGCACTCACTATGCATACAAGCAAGAAAATTACACTTGCCCCAGTGCCCCAAAGCCCCAATACCCTGATAGCCCGGTGCCCCAATACCCCAATGCCCCAGTGCCCCAATGACCCAATGACCCAATACCCCAGTGCTCCACTGCCCCTACGCACTGGTGGACCTATGGCCCAAATCCCAATGACTCCCCATGTGTCCCAAAAATTACCATAGTGCCCCAAAGCCCTGACAGTGACCCGTGTGTACCATGAGGAAGGTGGGGAGCATGAAGCGAGCAATGGCTCGGAAGACAAGCGAGGGAGAGCGACAGGTGAGCTCCCCTATGAGAATAGCCTGGGAGAGAGACAAGAGGGTGGGGGGGAAGAGGAGGATGATAGTGGGGAGGGAGAAGACAGATGGTAGCAGGGGACAGGGGAGGAGAGGACAAGGGAAAGAGAGGAGGGGGAAGTCGGGGATATGTGAGAAATGGGGAAGGAAGAGATGCGCAAAATTGTGTCTTAAAAGCACAGTGCAGCTACTTTATGCGCGCGCCAGGCATGTGACTGCATTCCATGTGGGGAAAGTGGGGTGGGTGGATGGAAGGAGATGCAGGCAGCGAAGCGACATGTGGGTCCAAAACCCAGAGGAGAAGGTTGGCTTACGTGAACGCCTTGAGCCAAGCTCCAGCACACGAATGCAAGATTACACTGCCGAGTAGAGCCATGCAACAAGCCATACCATCCATCCCATTCCATCCATCCTCCCGTCCGTCCGTGTGTCCGTCCGTGTGTCCGTCCGTGTGTCCGTCCGTCCATCCATCCACCAATCCATCCACCCGCCCAACCCATTCACAAGGCAAGAGCGTGGCAAAAGGAGGGATGATGATTGTGGCAAGGGCTAAGACACAGGGACAGCGACTGCAGAATGGGGCGTGATGTCCTGAAAGGGCAGGAAATGCTGAATTGAAGAACAGCACGGAACACAAGTAGGTAGACAAAGGGAAAGCAAAGAAAGAAAAGAAGAAGGAAAGAAAGAGAGGAGAAAAAAAGGTACGAGAGACCTGATGCTAAGAAGTAGGAGGAACAACAAGCAGGTAGCAAGGGAATTGGACAGAGCTGAAGAATCCGGGAAGGAAGTGGGAGAGGCAAGAAGAAACTCACGGAGCGTCGGGAGGTTTGCTCGATGTATTGATGCGCTACTAGGGTTACCAGCCTGTGGTGTGGCCCGGGCAGCAGGCAACAAAGGGGGTGGATGGAAGTAGCAGAAAGTTAATGCGCACATGAGTCATGAGGATGCAAGCAGAAGTGAAGGTACAAGGAGTGAAGGAGGAGTGAGGTAGGAGTGACGACAGGGAGGGGAGTGAAGGTAGGAGGAATGAGGGCAGGAGGAGTGAGGTAGGAGTAGTGACGGCAGGAGGAGTGAAGATTGCAGGAGTGAGGGCAGGAGGGGTGAGGTAGTGGGAGTGACGGCAGGATGAGTGAAGATAGGAGAAATGCACTTGGAGGAGTGAATCAAACCTGGTGCTTCACACAAACATGATAGCGTTTCAATCAAGTTCATGCGATGCCTTTCCTGATAGAAGAACGAAGATAGGCGATGTGTGGAGGCAGGAGCAGCAGGGTCGGGTGCGTGCGTACCAGAGGAAGAGGTCGAGGGGCAGCAGCTGATTGACAATGGCGAAGAGAGGACCGTGCGCCGAGCGAATGGCCGCTGATGGCAGGGAGGGAGGGAAGGAGTTTGAGAAGGAGGGAGGGAGGGAGGGAGGGAGGGAGGGAGGGAGGGAGGGAGGGAGGGAGGGAGGGAGGGAGGGAGGGAGGGAGGGAGGGAGGGAGGGATCAGAGGGATGTTGGCCTTGCAGGTGGCTCACACTCACAGGAGGTGCCCATCCGAAAAGAGGGTGGTAGTTGGGACGAAACGATGGTGGTTTGAGTGAGAGGATGGAGGTTGGGGAATCAGGGATCATACAGCCATGTGCTGAGATCTACACAAGATGCAGCAGGAGCAGAGAAGGGCAGAGGGAGCGGCTTACAGTAGGACGAGTTGAGAAACGTGCCAAAGTGAAGAGAGATGAGGTAGAGACTCAGGTAGCCTGGAACACACTCACGGGGCGGGCACAGACAGAAATGGCAAGTGGGGACGGGCAGATAGAGGCGCAAATGGGAGATGAGGGAAGCACATCAAAGATGAACATGGGGGATGAAAGCCAATTCAAGGTAGCCAGCCAGTTGGTAAACATGGGGGTTTCTGCGGAGCCTCGACGGAGGATGAGGGAAACACAGCACGGGTGCAAGGCAATGCACGGTATTCAGGCAGTAAACGGGCAAATGCCACGTGCGGAAGGTTGTAGCTACAGATGTGCACTTTTAACATAGACAGTGAACCCTCGCCACCTGTTGCGCTACAGACGCGCCTCTCTCTCCCTACTGCCAGACGCCCCCCTCTCTCACCTACTGTGCTACAAATGCCCTCTTTGTTGAGCGAGATAAGGGACGTGGCTTCCCTGTCATCTGACAACACCCACTTGCTGCCTCCCATGCACGATAGCCATGCCTGGTACCCTGCACCCAGCAGACACAAGCAGTAGGAAGATGAACAAAAGAAAAGAAAAGTGTTGAGAACCGAGCGGTGGCAGGAGAGGAAGGAAAGTAGCGAGGGAGTGACACACCAGCATGGGTGGTGGATACTCTGCTGCTGCTGCTGCTGCTGCTGCTGCTGCTGCTACAGATGGCCTGACATGACATGTCATACAAAGCCCTCATGGCATGGCACACAGCAGCACTGGCAGCAGCAGCTACACCAGCAGCAAGAGCAGCAGCAGCAGCAGCGGCAGCAGCGGCAGCAGCGGCAGCAGCGGCAGCAGCGGCAGCAGCGGCAGCAGCGGCAGCAGCGGCAGCAGCGGCAGCAGCGGCAGCAGCGGCAGCAGCAGCAGCAGCAGCAGCAGCAGCAGCAGCAGCAGCAGCAGCAGCAGCAGCAGCAGCAGCAGCAGCAGCAGCAGCAGCAGCAGCAGCAGCAGCAGCAGCAGCAGCAGCAGCAGCAGCAGCAGCAGCAGCAGCAGCAGCAGCAGCAGCAGCAGCAGCAGCAGCAGCAGCAGCAGCAGCAGCAGCAGCAGCAGCAGCAGCAGCAGCAGCAACGGCGGCGGCGGAAGCTGCTGCCTCCTGCCGCCGTGCCAGTGGCCACAACAGCAGCAGCAGCAGCAGCAGGAGCACTGACCGATGAGAAGCAGCACGGGCGGAGTGAGGCTGCGGAAGAAGACTTTTGAGTCGACTCAAAAGTCAACCCAGTGGCCACAACAGCCGCAGGAGCACTGACCGATGAGAAGCAGCACGGGCGGAGTGAGGCTGCGGAAGAAGCCCGGGGGCAGTTGCGAGGGGTGACGGCGGACAGGTGTGGGGAAGAGGCGCGCGAGGGAGAGCACAGCAGCTAGGGTGAAGAAGAAGTTCCAGTGCACGCCGTACTCGCTGCTGTGCTCCTGATGATGGGGGCGGGGGAGGGGAGGTGGTGGGGAGGTTGAAAGTATGTGTGTCTGCGTGTGGGTGTATGAGCAGGAGAGAGGGCGTTTGAGGGAGAGCACAGCAGCAAGGGTGAAGAAGAAGTTCCAGTGCACGCCGTACTCACTGCTGTGCTCCTGATGATGGGGGATGTGTGTGTGGTTAGGGAGAGCATACCAGGGTGAAAGAGGCATCCAGTAAGATAGTGCTTTGTAGTTCGGTATCAAGAGCATCTGGCAGCAACAAGAGCATCTGGTAGCATTTTTGAGACGTCTGAGGAAGAACAGCAGCAGTAGTACCTGGTAGTTGGTGACTTTGGTGAGCAGCAGCCGTCCAATGGCAAGCACTAACAGAGGCAGCAGCTTGCGCGAGAATCGTTGGCTGGAGGGGATCGTGTTGGGCAGAGATGCAGGAGGAAGTTGATTGAAGGGGTGGGAAACAGGGGTGGGCAGACAACCCAGGTGGGAGAGACCATTGGGATTATGGCAATGGCAATAATAGATTGGATGGTCAATGGACCAGAAAGGGCACAGAGATGAGTGGCGGCAGCTGCGGCGGCGGCGGCGGCGGCAGCAGCAGCAGCAGCAGCAGCAATGTATGCAAGAGCGAAGGAGTTTGAGACTAGAAACATCTACATAGTTGGGGGGATGCTGGCAATAAACTGGTTAGAATACCCTGCAAGGCGTGTGTAACACGTACGCAGTCTCATGGATTGATGAAACTCACACGTCTCATCTCATGCATGCATGCACTTACATGTAGGGATGAGCATAAATCCGGGCTGGGCCCGGCCCGGGTCGGGCCGGCCCGGAATTGCCCCGGGCCGGGCCTCAGATTTTGGGTTTCGGCCCGTAGCGGGCCGGGCCGGCCCTGCCCGGCGGGCCGTCGGCGGCCCGACTTTGGCCCGCCAATTTCGGGCCGGGCCGGCCCGGCCCGTGTCGAAGCGCGGCCCGGTTCGGGCTGTTCTGGCCCGCCTATTTCCCCCCCGGCAATTCGCTTAGTGAACTCTACTTTTAAGCTAATAATGTGCTGGTCGAGTAAACCCTATGAGTTGATACCCTGTCGACTAGATCTCAGGCCAATAAATGCGGCCAGATCTAGTCGACCTGGGTTGGAATTTGATGGACTGGTTGGAAATTCTAGATTCAGTGCGGTGAAATCCGGTTTCTGTTGTATTTTGCTGGCATAATTTGAGATTTGAGTCAATTTCGTCAAATCTCAATCACGCGGGGATTTGACCCTCCCAGCAAATGTCGCGGGGGTCAAATTTGAGCTGCGCGAAACTTTGCGCAAGATCTAACGCAAGCTTACCCCTAGCTTCTCGCCATGTATTTAGATCTCACCTAGCCTGTTTTCTTAACTTAGTGTTAGTTAACCGTTTTAAAGTAACGGTTATATGAAAGGGTGGCGAAATAGTGCGTTTTAGCTTAGATCAGGTTAAGATTTAAGGCATTCCGTTTTCGAAAATCATGTGTGACTATATCGGAAGTGCACCCGGGCCGGGCCGGGCCCGGTCCGGGTCGGGCCTTGCTTGGCCCGGGTCGGGCTACCCTGGCCCGAGTACAAAATGGGCGGGCTCGGGCCAGGGTCTTGGTCATTCGGCCCGGGTCGGGCCGGGCCAGGCCCGGCCCGGATTTTTGCCTGGCCCGGCCTGGCCCGACCCGGGCCCGGCCCGGCCCGGCCCGTGCTCAACCCTGCTTACATGGATACATGTGTCTTTCTTGCTCCGGCTGTCCTGATCCTGGATGATCCGAATTGCGAGGCTGTGTTGGCGATGACAAACATGCCCACTCCTAGATCCATCTGCAGAGCAAGCAAGAGAGGAGGAAGAGAGAGGAAGGAGAGACGAGGGACGCAAAAGTGAGGGGGGGAGTCGTGAATTGAGAGGTTGTGTTGGCGATGACAAACATGCCCACTCCTAGATCCATCTGCAGAGCTAGCAAGAGAGGAGGAAGAGAGAGAGAAGGGATGTGACATGTACTAGGTTGTCACTTGTGCAGCATGGTATAGCAAAATCTCCTTGGACGTGACATGTACGTTGATGCCATCTTTATAAGGTTGCATGCCTAGGTATACGCGCTTGCTAGGAACTGCCGTTGCCTTGCCTGTACCTTATACACACATCAATGCAGGACTGCTTGAGTAGGGATGGATGGATGGATGGATGGATGGACGGACGGACGGACGGATGGATGGATGGATGGATGGATGGATGGACGGACGGACGGACGGACGGACGGATGGATGGATGGATGGATGGATGAATCGACTGACCAGGGAGGTGCCGTATCGTTCAGTCTTAGCATAGTTGCGTGGGAAGATGTCAAAGTCCACTGCTAGAATGGCCGTGCACGTCAGCAGCATCTGGTGGGCGCCAGCGGTGGTACGGGAGAGAGAGAGAAGAGCGGTGGTAAGGGGAGAGGACGCACGAGTCAATGCAAAAATAGTGGGAACATGTCATAGTGTACTGCCAGGATAGCTGTGCATGTCAGCGGCATCTGATGGGTGGCAGCGGTGGTGGGGGAGAGAGGGAAGTGGTATGGAAGAGAGGGAAGAGGGGTGGTAGGGGAGAGAGGGAAGAGGGGTGGTAGGGAAGAAAGGGAAGAAGGGGTGGTGTGGGGGAGGGGGAAGAGGAAGAAGGGTTGTCAGAGGAGAGAGGGTTGCCAGGCAAGGCAGGAACAGAGAATCAGAGAAACAATGGTGGAAGTGGTGTCGTAGATGCATGGACGCTACAAGGTACATTTATGAGACAGGTAGCATATATGTGCTGTGTGGGAAGAGGTGGGGGAAAGGGGGGGAGGAGGTGGGGTTCAAGGGACGGTGCGGGCGGGGGGGTGGGAAGGGGGAAACAAGATAAAGAATCTGGCGGGGAGCGGTGTGGGTGGGTGGGGTAGGGGGGAGGGGAGAGAGGGGAAGAGAAGTGGGTCTCACCAGGAGTGCTCTGAAGGTAATGACTGAATCGGTGACGGACGGTGGGGAGAGAGGCCACGAGGAGGTGTTTAGCAGGTAAGGACTGTGCGGTGTGCATATGGGAGCGAGATAGAGGGGCATTTAGAGGGGAACATGCATATGTAAGATGATTTGTAATATACATACAGATCGATAAAACTGCCCTTGAACAAATCATAAAAGTGACAAAGATGGTTTTCGAGACGTCTCAAGAGCAGCAGAGACTAGCGCGTGCACATGTATGGGCGAGAGGGGCGTATGCTGCTGCGAGGGGGGAATGTGTATGCATACATGGACGAACAAAGCCGTATACACACTAAGGAAGTGGAGGAATGAGTCAGTTGAGTCACAGGTATGGCGAATGATTTGCAATCCACAAAGATATAGCACCGGTATTAAGTCAAGAACAAGCAGTGGCAGTGAGAGGAGGGAATGGGAGGAAGCTGGCGCTGGTGAAGGAAGAAGGGAGAATTTTTTAGATGTCCGAGAATAAGACAGAGGGAACGGGAGTAGGCAGGGAATGAATGGAGGAAGCAGGGGAGAAAGTGAACGCACCCTGTGGTGTTGAGGGTTGCCAGAGTTGCTGTTGTTGTAAGAATGGCTGCGAGAAGAATGAATGTGATTGTAAGGTGGTCCTTTAAAACCTGTGAGTCAGCGAGCAGGTATGACCAAGAAAACAAGTGGGTGTAAGAGGGGGGTGCGAGAGGGGAAAAAGAACGAGAGTTCAATGGAGGGGCATGGATCAAATCATCGGCAGTGGCGAAGAAGCAGCATGAGAGTTACGAGGCAACGGACAGGCATCAAGACCCTTTTTGTGACTGTAAAGAGGGCATGTGCAAATGGGAGAGGAGGGCGGGGAAAGCGGGGGAAAGACACACAGGAGGTGCTCGGAGTGGTGGTACCGTGAGGGTGAGGAGGGAGGGGATGATGACGAGGAGGGCATCTGCTGTCACTGATGCAGCAAGTTGCAACCCAGGTGTGGGGAGCTGCAGAGACAGGGCGGAATGCAGAGAAGGAAAAGAGGGAGAGATGGAGGAGAGATGGAGTTGGGATGGAGTGGGGATGGAGGAGAGATGGGGAAGCGGGTATTAAGAGGGAGAAGAGTTGGAGAAACTGAAGGAAGAAGGGGCAGCATGCACGGACACCTGATAAGAGTGCTGTCTTTCTGTCCACCTAACTTGTGTGCGTATGTATCCCCCTACCCTGTGCGCCTACGTGTGTGCCCTACCGCACCTCTGGAGGCCTTATGCAGGGTGGCAGGAAGGGCAGTAGCTGGCGCTGCGCGGAGAGCATCTGCAAGCGCACGGGGAGCACACGGGGAACACAAGGAGAGTGCTAAGTGCAGGGAATTCAGGGGATCTTGAGAAGTCTCGAAACTCGAAGGGTAGGGAGGAGGAGGAGAAGGGGAAGAGGGTGGTGATGCACCAGTATCAGATGATCCATCGAATCTCATTAAGCAATGCAATCGGATCAATTCAACATCCTGTGGTGCAGTAAATGCGTGAAAGGACAGGATGGCTTATGCAGTGACACTGCTTTTGGCACTATCGACCACCATTGGTTGCAAGAGAGTGCACGGAGATGTGGTGATGTGGCAGGGTGGTGGCGTGGCGATGCAGTGATGCGGGGGCAATGAGAAGCAAAGAAGGTTCAAATAGGCTGCTGGAGGAGAAGCACTCACGAAGACTATGGTAACTAGAACGGATACGTGGAACATGGACGTCCCCGTGTGACCGCTCACGAACCTGCACCTCCAAGAAACGCCAACAACACCGCATGGCACCGCAAAACACCGCAAACCGCCACTCGGGCATAGAGTCTCATGCAACAGTCAAACAATGTTGGAACGCATAACCCCTCACAGTCACGCATATGCAGCACATACAGCCCCCGCTCATGCCCATACACACAACACACATACACACATGCACAGCACGCACGTATGCACGCACATACACACACGCACACACAGACGAACGTGGTGGCAACCAAAGGAATAAACAAAGTACCTTTTCACATTGTCCAGGAATATCCGTACAAGGCAAGAGAATTGGGAAAGGGAAGTGACCAGTGACAAGTGGCAGGGATTCAACAAGGAGATGTGAGCGTACAAGGGGAATAACCTAAAACGGAAACAAAAAAGACTACGAACATTTCACGTTGCTCCTTAATGTGACCCGGAAGGAAGGTCATGGCTCGAGACAAGAGCGAGGCCATGACAGGAGCGCTCTCGGATCGCGACGCCATGGCGGGAACGAGCAACAGGCGTAAGGGGGGAACCTGTGCAGGGGAGATTGATATGGTAAAATGGTTTCGGACGCGGGTACGCGTTTCAGTGGGAAAGGTACGAGAGATGTAAGGAGATGTACAACAGTGACAGCATGCGATTTAAGAGATTCCGGCAGTAGTGACGAAACGCGCGAGATGTTAGCACAACGAGAGAACGTACTTGGCGACGTAATCTCGACGTCACTCCTCCCTCCTGTGTGATTCAGCGAAGGCAGAATAATCCTACGCGTACAATTCACCAGCCACAATTCCCTTCAAACAATTGTCAAGCTCGAAACTACTACGACTGATGCGCTGCCATTCGGCTACTGCAGCTTCTATTGCCTCCGTAAGAACGGCTTCCGACACAATGGCTCTTTCTCTTTCTACGCAGAAATGTCAAGACTTTAGTTCGAATTTACGGGAAAAAGGCTTCAAAACTGAGCCTACACGAGCCTAGAGCCCAAAAGTCTTTGACCTACAAATAATAAGGCCTGGAATTGAGACTCATACGACCTGCGTCATCTGCGCAGGTTATCGCATCCCCTGCGCGCACCGCCTCTTCAAGGCTCTACCTAAGAGTACTGGAAAATTAAACGAGTCGTAATGAGTGCGACCGCCAATAGGACCTCTCACGGGTACAGTCACCGCCTGGCAACAATAGGACCGTAACGTACGGAGCCATAGCCGTTATACTCTACACTCGATCCGGCATTTGGCCATAAGAGGCATTAAAATACGACCTTTACCTAGGCTATACGTTATGACAACGCTGCTATCACACTTCACTGATACCGAGAGTCGACCATCTCAGGCAACGCGCCCAGGCAGTCGTCGAAAACAATCGTTTGCTCAACTTCTCGCACTCGGCCTCAACCAATAAATTTCCTCAGAGGGCCGTTCAATCCGAAGCTCCGTCGCACTACGGTAGTTACTAAGGAGGAATCTAGGGAGGGAGGGATGTGGTGGCGAACTTCAGTTGGCCAACACGGGCTTCACTCGTCGCCACTGGAACTGTACAGTATTCTAGAATTCTAGAATCTAGGTGTCAGCTGGTGGTGTGAACGAGCTGTACTGTTTATGATCTCATCGGCTGAAACACGCGGGCCACAGGGGACGATCATGGGGAAAGGAAAGAAAGTGGAGGCTGTGCTGTATCGGGTACAATCACAAGGGATGGCAAACCGTCTACAGTTTTGGATTTACTGCAAGTGATTTTGACAAGCACCATTTCAAGTACCATCATATTATAGAAGCTTTTATATATAACAATATCTTATTACAAATGAAAAGCACTTGGAACACAGCCATTCTATCATAAATAACCAAGCTGATGGATGTTGCATAAATAACCAAGGCAGCAGAGCTGGCTGCTTGTGCAGGAGGAGAGAAAGGGGGAGAAACGGAAATGGTGGTTGAAGGTGGGAGGTGGTGGAGTGCCAGCTAGGATAGATAGGAAAGGGCAGCCAGCCATAAAGGAGAGGCACTGCTGTAGCCAGCAAGAAAAAGAAAAAACACAAAAAGGGTAGAAGGGGCCCTAGAACCAAAGAGAAGGAAAGGACAGGGAAAAGAGGGAAGCACAGCCACAGGGTAGGAGTTGAAAAGTGTACCAGCAAACCTAGGCCATGATGGCACCAGCTAAAACCATCGTGCATGACTCATAAGCTGAGTACGGAGCTGATGATAGCCTGTGGACTATGGAGGTAATAATACCGTATAAGAGGCGGTATGGCCAGTAAAGTGGCCTTGGGTGGCTAGCTACGAGATGGGCACATCCCCTTGAAGAAAGATGGCTGCTGCTGCTGCTAATGCTGCTGGTGTGATCCACATGTCGATGGCTGAATCAGCATAAACCTCCACCCGTGGCAGCAGGATGAGCTGAAAGCGGGGACAGTAGATGCTGGTGCAAGCAAAGTATCAGGTGGTCCGAGGGCGAGTAAAGTGTGAAACAAGCACGCATGCGCCCAGTATGAACCAGACTGCAAGGAAAAATGGACACAGGAGCAGCAGGAGGAGCAGAAGGACAGCAGCGGCAGGAGTAGCACGAGTAGGTAGGACGTAGCGGTGGTGTAGCAATGTGGTGCCGGGGTGTGCCAGGGTGTGGGGGGATGGTTCCCTGTGCCCAGGAACCAAGAAGCGGCTACGAGTCCAGGAAAAGATGGTCGGGGATTTCTGCTGGGGGTGGCAGCAGAGCCACGCCTTCGAACTGCAGGCACAGGAGTGATTGGAAGGAGGACGGACAGACAGAGATACATGCTGTGAGAGATGTGGCCCGCACATCAACAGCGAGCGAAACGGAGACAAGGGCGAGGTGAACAGAGAAGGAAGGAGGTGGTAAGATAGTGGGAGGGAAAGAGCGCGAGGGTGAGCGTGGGGAGTGGCTTGAGGTGATGAATGAATTGGCACCTTAGGCTGGCGGTATTTCTCCCGAATGGCAGGGAGTGTGCAGCCTTTGACGTTGCGCTGCAAGTCATAGAGCGCCATCACCGCCTCCTTGAGCTGTGAGGGCGTATACCCCGTGTAGTGCTGCAGTGTCGCGTCCTGCCACCAGAGAAAGTCAAGGGACGGGAACGCAATACCAACGCATTGAGCACAATGCAAAGGACAAGAGTGGGACTGCTACCCAGGGGAATGAAAAAATGAATGAAGCAATAGCAAGCACTTTTTTAGACAGAGGAGTGTACTCAAGCAAGGTGCGGGGCTTACCCAGGGTGGAAGGGCCCGGTAGAGCGTGAGCTTGGCAAGGAAGACGGCTGCAGCAGCGATTTGCGAGGGGAGGAAGCGCAGGCAGGGGTAGTCAACGAGCGTGAGCTCTGCAAAGTAGTTGCCCAGGAACTCCAGGTGGTGCTGGGGACTCGGCTGTTGGGACAGACGCACAGGGAGCAACAGAAAAAAAAAAGTGGAAAAGGGACAGAAATGAAGAGCTTTGAGAAATAAGGAGCATATATCAGGATGGATAAGACCTGCCTGGTGGGCATGAGGGCATGGATGATGAAAGGGGAAAGATAATTAACTGAGTTGAGCAGGAGAGGAAAACGACAAGAAAAATACGTTAGATCACGCAAGGAAAAACCAGCATGGCAAGGCATGGGATGGGATGCAATGGGACGGGGTGGAAAAAAGCGTGATGCTGCTGCTGCTTACCGGAAGGGAGGCTTGGGCGGCTTTGATGAAGCGCCTGAGGAAGCTCTTGACGGTGGGCGTGGAGAGGTCGAAGTGCAGGGTTTTGAGGACGTGGCGCTCCATGAGCAGCACCTCGTGGCGACGGTACGTGTTGTCCGTGATGTAGCAGAACTCGTCCACCTGCGGCGCGTATATCTCCTCGTACTTGCTGCCATGCCATGCCATGGGGACACGGAGGGGCGGAGGGAGAGGAGGGGGCAGGGAGAGAGAGGGAGAGAGGGTGGGGCAGGGAAGAGGGGGAAGACATGATTAGACTGACGAAAAGCAGCGAGTAAGGAGTGGGTAGACAAGGTCGTGGAGTACGAGGCTAGGCGGGAATGGATGGAGAGGAGCGGAAAGTATGAGGGAAGGTGGGTGGGACGAGGCAGAGGATGCTTACAAGGCCATGAGCAAAGAGGAGGGCAGAGATTCTCACGAGGCGATGAGCATGGCGGCGATGCCGAGGAGCTGCAGGTGGTTTTTGGTGACGGTGGCGTGGGAGAGGAAGCGGTCAATGTAGGCGGCGGTGAGGAAGAGCGTGTCGGGCACGAGGCGGTACTCCTCCGCCACCTCCACCAGCCAGTCCATCAGAATGCCCCGCATCGCCGCGCTCACCTCGCCCCCCCGCCCCTCCTCCAGCGCCATTGTCGGTCGGTGCCGCCGCTGCAGGGGTCGCGGGGGTGCCGGGGGTGGTGGGAGATGGGGGGAATGGGGAAGGGAAAAAGAAGGGGGGACGGAACAGGACGGGGAAGAGTGGAAGGAGTTAGTAAGAAATCAAGACAAGGAGTTAGTACTCCGCGTTTTGCAGCCGCGAGGAGGCATGAGAGAGCGAGAGCTAGCTGTCAAGTGCACGAGGGTAGAGCGAGGGCGATGAGAGGCAGAGCGACTAACCTCGCCATCTCTCAGGTTCGCGTAGATCTCCGCGGCATACTTGGTGCACATCTGCGGATCCCCGTGCGCCGAATCAATATTCCTGACCGTCGCCGCATCAACCCCCGCGCCCGCGCCCGGAGCGCCAACACCCGTTACTTGCTCCGCCTCCGCCTGCACGTCCGCACCACGGATCTGCACCGCTTGCGCCCACTGACTGCTGTTGGCGGAAACCGACGGATGAGCCGCTTCCGCCAGCCGCGCTTCCCCGGACGTCCCCTCCCGCGGACCCTCCGTCAAGGCCCCTTCCATGTCGCCCTGGCGCTCCCCCTCTCTCCCGGGATCGACGCTGGAGATACACAACACCCGCTCCGTCTTCCGGTTGATCGAATCCATTGCCGCCGCGCTCGCTTGCGCCTGCGCCTGCGCCGCGCTTCCCACTACGTCCCCCGCGCCACCCACGCTCCCCGCGCTGCCGCCACCGCTGCTGCTGCTGGGTAGGAGAAGCGTAAGAGTCGTCGTCGGCGGGACAGCCGCGTTGGCACTCGCGGGAATGGCGGCGGAAGGAACGGCAGAAAACGGAACGGGGTGGTGTAACGCCGCTTCTGCCGCCAACGTCGCAGTCGACGCAGCCGCTGCTTCTGCCGTCGCCACTGGAACAGAGGAATCGCTGAATCCGGTCGATCTGTCCGTTGCAGCCGCACCGCTATGCAGCGGAATATGCGCCGTGAAATGCGCCGGGCCATGGCAATAGCCATGCTCATGAGAGAGGGCAAAGACCACCGGAACTGACACGAAGCCGTCTGCGCTTTCCCCCGCCGGCTCCGCCATATCCCCATACCGCGCATGGTGCCTCTCCGCGGATCCGCCGATGCTGCCCTCAGTAGAGAGCAGCGCAGCTTCCGCCAGGTACGCCTGCTCGTGCGCGCGCCAATGAATGTGCTCTCCCCCCGGCGCTCGCGCTGGCGCGTGCGCATGGTCGTACGGATGCCGGTGCTGCGGTTGCGCTTGCGCTTGCACTTGCGCTTGGGGCTGCGCGAACGCAAACGCCGCTGCTGCGGATCCCGCAGCATGCAACTCCGGGAGTAGCAACCCTCCGCCATTCACGGCGGGCATTCCGGGGCATGATGACTTCGCATCAAATCGGAGCCATGTGCCATCTTGGGGTTGGGAGTGACCAGCAATGGCTCCTTCGGAGGTTGCGGAAGCGCCTGCTAGCTCCGCTGCGCCTGGCGCGGCGACCGCGCGAGCGCGAGAATGGGAAGCGGGAAACGCGATTGGCCCAGGGAGATCGCGGAGATCAGGGAGTCTTCCACCGTTACAGTGACTACGATCCGACAACTGCTGCTGCTGCTGATGATGATGCTGATGTAAATACTGGTGCTGGTGCTGATGCTGATGCTGATGTTCATGCGACGGTCGCTGCGCCTCGCCTTGTGATGCAGATACGGCGACGACCGTGTGCTGCTTCCGTGCGACGGCTTGCGACGCTTGCTGCGACGTCGATCGTGTGACTCTGGTGCATGCAGCCGTCGCTGCAGCTGCTGCCGAACCGTGACGCTTCTTGGCCGACCGCGTATGGCTTGATCCTCGGGTCTTCTTACGTGTCTGATCCTGGAAGACGAAGGAAACAAGCCACCCGTCAGATGAAAGCAGAAGCGGACGAGAGAACGAACGAAAAAGGAGGTTAAGAAAACGTGCCGAGAGTGTTTTATTGCACTGAACAGGAAGGCAGGCAAATCAGATTTAAGAGCGATCCTATCATACGGGTCATTGACGAGCATGAACTCTATCAACAATGGTTGGCTTGCGGTTACCGGATTCAGCTGAACAAAACATCGCTGGTCAGAGACAAGCCGACGGAATGAGACATTCCGGTCTTCTAAATAAGTCCAATGAAATAGCATCACAGATTTCGCACAAGTCTGGATTCTGGACCCAGCGATTCAGCGAACTAAAAACCCTAAAGTTTCAAAAACGAGGAATCGCCGGTCTATTTGGAATACACGTTTGGTCAATGATCAAGTTGGTCAGTGAAGCGGTGCACGACACGGGATCATCGCTTCAATGCGAGCTTTACGCCATGATTCAAGCCGTGTAACATGCAGTCGCTTGAAAGGATAGGAAAATGGCCTGAGGACTAACTTGGGATGGCGAGATGACAGCTGACGGAGCAACGTGGTTCGTCCGATTCGATAAAGCTTGACGCTTGTTGTTGGCAAACGAGGCATCGGATGGTCGCTTAGCAGAGCCTCGACCCCCAGCATCCTGAGCCTTGCTCGGCGGGCTGGGAGTCATGGCACGAAACGACGCCATGAAAGGTGTAAGAAGCCTGAGGAATACGGTTCGAGAGCCAGAGTCCGCTAGAACGCTACCAGGAGCAGGTCCAGCATTAGGTATGGCTGGATGTCTTGTTTCAGACAAGCAGCAATCAGATGGATAAAAGACGAAAAGAGGGAGCAGTTTGCACTCGACGATGGGCAACCCCAACACCAGCGGCACCCTCTATGTTGCTCTTGATCAACCCAATGCATGGGAGAACCAATTTGAACATGAAAAAGTCCCACCCAAGTCAGGGTTCCGTGTGATGTGAAATGGTCCGTGATGAAGGGCAGAGCGGCTTGTGCAGATCAAGGGCGACAAAGGCGGGGAGTTCAGGTTCAGGCTCCAGAGATGGTGGCAGAACCAAGGACTGAAACCAAGAGGCGCGCCAAGACAGGAGGACAGGCAGGACGGGTGAGTGGTTGGGAAGAGGAGGTTGCGGGGGAAAAGGACTGGCGGGGGCGGAGCGTGCCAGGCCGGGCCAAGCCAGATGCAGGAGGGCAGGGGCGGCGGAGAAGAAAAGTCTTGCAGCCTTGCCCAAAGAGGGATGGTTTGCAGGTCGGATGATGATCCCCCCACCCGATGGATGGCGGCGCTTGTGGAATCCTTTTCCCCCATGCGGTGCTGCATGGCAGAGTCCGAAGATCCAGTGAATCATCTGCCAGGCCTGAGGGAGTTTCCAGCTGTACCCGGAAGAAAATGTTTTTCACCAAAATCAAGGCAACGCGGTATATACTCCCAGGGACGAAAGTCTCGTCAGCACCATTCTGGGCCACCCAAAGCTTCGGTTTGACCTGCGTTTTTCGTGAAACATAGCCAAGAAGTGCCCACAATGTCTCCTGCCCATTGTTTAACATCATATATAACTATTATAACTACAGAATCACGGTCTAGTTACCTTTCTAGTTCTCTACATATCCATGCAGAAATTCCACGTAGGCAGTAGACATGGCGTACTACTCAGGGTCCGCGGAACGCATGGTTCACTGCGGACCAGGCGGCCCAGTCCGTGGGCAAGTACCTGTGGTCAGCTTGAGACCAGGCCAGTTCAGCATATGGTTACCACATAACTTAAGCAATATCTTCTCTGGGTCGAGCTATTTTTAATTCTTCTACGGAAAGTGGTGCTTGGTCCGTAGACAGGTCCGCGAGGGAACCACTGAGGCCTCGTTCGGGCTGGTCCGTCGGACCACCCTGTGGAGCACGGGTTCCACGAACCCTGGGTGGCTGTTCTGAGCACTTACCAGACCCAACGAAGCGATAGGGTGACAACCATGCTGGAGGTTTGACCCAGCCAGAGGATGCAGGAAACTGACTCAGAAAACTATGGGCGCATTTTTCAATGACTGATATAATCGTGGGGTGTCATGCTGCAGAAGTTTTCTCTCTCCGGTTCGGATAACAGCCGTGTGGGTGTTCTCGCATTGAACTCTGTTTTAGATGAAACCCGGTGGAAAGGACAGTTATGAGCGACTCTGGTAGTGTGGAGTTTCTCATCCCTCACGTGTCATTCATTCTTTGAAGAAAACATGAGCGCCGTCCTCCTTGGAGGGTCAGCTACTTTTAACTCTTTTCGGTGACTGCCACCGTCACAGGTATACTAATAATCGGGGTGTATGGAAGGGACAAGTTCCACTTGCTGCTCAACCTCCAAGTTTCCGATTGTGCCGCCGCCTGGTTGATCAAACACCAACATTTCGGTCCACAACCGCATGGCATTCTTGGAGACATCGGTCCGCGACTCCAAGTCCCTGTGGTAGAGACAAGGTGCAGCAGTTTCCCTCCATTCTCTGCCCCAAAGCGACTGACATTAGGTTTGGAAGCTGACACAAGTCCCGCCAAACCGAGAATTCCCACAAATCGAATTGTCCCCAAAGCCGCACCTCCATTCTAGACCAGTAAGAGTCAATCCACACCGCCCACCCCGGCCAAACAAAAGCGGTACACATGATGCCCGGTTGAGCCCCCCAACTTTGGCCTACCCCATGTGCGTATAAGTGATTCTGCATTTCGCGGTGGTTTCGTCAATTCGCGTCGGGCAAAAAGGGCTTATATAAAAATTTTGTAGCTCATCGTTGACTGTTTGACTGCAGTCTCATCAGTCAGACTTCCGTTTCTGTGGCTCTTATTGGTCGACGTGCTTGTAACGTAGGTGCAACTTCGCGGCAAGAAACCCACGGGTGCAAGGTTTCTGGAAAATACAAGGCAATTTTGCGTGCAAGGATTGGGCATCGACTGTACATGTAAATAATGTAGGTTTTCTGTTCTCTCAGGACGTGGGCCCAATCGACTTTGATCGGCTCTGATCGGATCAGGTTGGATCGGATCGAATTGCTTCTGATCGTTTTCCTCGAATGTTACGCGCTCTTGCATGAAAACTCTCGGCCCATTACCTGGTAGTTGCAGGCCAACTTTGGCGAGAATGACGAATCTCAGTATCGTGGTAATGTCGCCATGGCATGCATTTCTCGCCGATCTGGGTGTAGTCGCAAGGATTTTCGAGACCCCATGGCGAGGCGTGTTACATTTCGCGTACGTCGCCCAGGTGCCCGATCACATGCAATCAAGTGATTGGGTCTGATTGTGTCTGATCGGGTCTGATCGGGCTGTTTGAGGCGGTTGATCGAGTTGGAGCGATCAGCTGATCGCGATCAGCTGATTGCCCCCGATTGCCTAAAATCTGCTTCCTGCCTTCCTCGAAAGTTTGGATCGCCTCTGATCGCGCCGATCAAAGTCGATTGGGCCCACGTCCTCATTCTTTTCCGCGCCTCGTTATGTCAACTGTTTTGTCCGTGACCCTCGAGCTCCTTGCTCTGCTTGTGGAAACAAGCGTGCGTAATTTTCAGAAGTTACAGTCTTGAACAGTGACTCGAAGAAGTTTTTGAGCTGTTCAGCACGAAATGTAATGCAGCGACAGTTACAGTACAGCCACATCGCATGCAACATTTCTTTCACCATACAGTATTTTTGTGCTGCACCATACACAGGCGCGCGGATTTCCTCGGCTGTGGGTGATTGGTGTGCGGGGCTCGATACAACGAAATACTTATCTGTAATTGAAAATGCAAGTTGCTTTGTTTGACCTTAAGTGTGTGGCTTCCTCTAACAAATATGCTATTGCTGGTTCAAAACTGGACATTCAACAAAGGCCTCTGCAAAACAATTTGAGGTACCCAAGCTATGTGGTGACAATGATAGCGGGTTTGGACAGAGTTGTGGTACGCGATATCATACGTGCACCAATTTTCCTTACTTCGCGACACTCCACACATGTTCGATCGCTCACTTAGGGTGCATTCCTGTGTCGACACAAATGTCTCAATCCCTGTTTTCCCGAGTCGCGTCAAAACATTTTGGGGATCTCGCGTCACAAAAAATCAATGTATCGCGAAACTAGGCGACCATGCGAAATGCACAGTTGGGCGCAATTGATTGGGTGGAAATTTTACTGTACACCCAAATCTTCAATCGCGCGGCTGTGGTGTGGTTTCGACACGAGGGATTCTTTCCCGCGCAAAATTGGCATTTCGGGACGACCAGGTGCATTGACATTTCGAACCGCATGCGATTTTTTAAAAATGACGAGTCAGTTGTTAGAATAGTAGCCTTAGGGTTTGGGGTAGCGTGAGCGAGAGAAACAGGAAGGTGAGGTTCACTACAGCAAGGTTACAAGATATAGCAAAGAAAGGTGAGCACATTGGTGCACCACCACTGTAGCTACACTAGAACACACAGCAAGCAGGGTATATAACAAAACTTAACACACCCCCTTAACCTGCTTGCCGTGATAACTAGTACAGGTACACGTGGCGCAGCGGAAGAGGGTAGAGAGGTTAGGAAGGAGGAGGAGGTGAGAGGAGAGGAGAGGAGAGGAGAGGAGGGAAGAGAGAGAGGGATGAGGAGAGGTGGGGGGCCAGGAGCGGCGGACCCGCTTACGAACCTCCTTTTACAAAGGGGGTTGGGGAGGAGTGAGGGAAAAGGAGAGAAGGTGGGGGGCCAGGAGCGGCGGACCCTCTTAAGAACCTTCAGAAGGTGGGGGGCCAGTAGCGGCGGACCCTCTTAAGAACCTTCAGAACTCAACTCAACTCAACCACCCCCCTTTGACCTCACTCCATGAATCTGCCATCCCCCCAATGCTCACCCTCACACTCCAGTCAACTTCACTATCACCACCCCCTCACCTTCTGCACTTCTCTCCCCCCCCCCCCCCCCCTTCTCTACGGCGACAATCCCTGCAGTAAGAGAGAGGGGAGGGACGGGCTGCAGGCAGCTCACACACGCCACCCACACATCTCCCCCTCCTCCCTCCCCACGACGGAAGAGCGGAAGGGAGGGCGGGCGGGGGGGGGGGGGGGGGGGGGGGGGCGGCGGTAGCTGCTGCTGGCGCTGGCGGTGGCGCTGGCTGGTGCGCAGGCGCGAGCAGCTGGCCGCGGTGCTGGCGTCCGCGCTGACGGGCCACGCTCGCGCTGGCGCCTGCGGTCCGGGCTGGCGCGGGCGCTGGCGTCCATGCTGGTGCTGGCGCCCGCCGGCGCTGGCGTCCGCGGCGACGAAACGGGGGGCCGCGGGGCGACGAAACGGGGGGGGGGGGGCCGCGGGGCGACGAAACGGGGGGCCGCGGGGCGACGAATCGGGGGCCGCGGGGCGACGAAATGGGGGGCCGCGGGGCGACGAATCAGGGGCCGCGGGGCGACGAATCAGGGGCCGCGGGGCGACGAAATGGGGGGCCGCGGGGCGACGGATCTGGCCATTGCGCAGCTCGCCACCGTGTCGATCAGCAGCGACTCGAGGCGCCGCCATAACGAGCATAAAACTAGGCCTAGGAACGGCCTGCTCTGATTACCATGTTAGAATAGTAGCCTTAGGGTTTGGGGTAGCGTGAGCGAGAGAAACAGGAAGGTGAGGTTCACTACAGCAAGGTTACAAGATATAGCAAAGAAAGGTGAGCACATTGGTGCACCACCACTGTAGCTACACTA